GCGCTACACGACCCCGATCCTGACGGCGTCTGCAGGGACTGCCACACACCGACGACCTCGACGAGCGCGATCGCCGGCCGCGGCCTTGCTGCCATTCGCGAAGCAGAGCGCGACGCACCGCCTGAGGAGGGCCTCTCCCAACTCGAGCTTGAGACAGCCACGCGGGTTGTCTTCGGCACACCGGAACACCCTCTCCCCGGACCCGCATCTCAGCATCTCCAAGGCATGCTCCGCGGCGTCGGCGTCGGTACCCTCGACGCCCATGGGAACCCTCGGCCCTACACCGAGAAGAAGGCGGCAGAGATATACGCTCACCGGCGCGATTCGAAGAAACGACTCTCACCTTCGGAAGAGGAGGCATTGGCGCAACGCGAAGCCGAAGAGCTTCGTCAGAAGAGCCTCGCCGAGGCACGCGGAACGCTCGCTTGGGAGCAGGACGAGGAGAGCGCCTCCAATGAAGGGGGGTGGGGGAGCGCCAGCGGATGGGGAACGAGCAACACAAGCGGTTGGGGTGCCGCAACAAGCGGCTGGGGCGACGCAACCGGCGGATGGGGCGCCGCACAAGGCGGCAAGACGAGCGGCTGGGGAGCCTTCCGCGAGGAACAAAGGGGGGAAGCGGAAGCAGAACCTGCGCAAGCTGAGGATGAACCTCCTATTGTCCCTCTCGGACGCCCTCCGCGCCGCCCTGCATTAGGACCTCCGCCCCCTGATATCCCTTCAGGTAGTGACCCCTGGGACACCATCGACTGGGGTAGTGAACCACTCACCCCGCGCCGCACCGTCTACGGACCTGCCCCTGAACCGCGCGAACCGACACTTGTACTCGGCACGATCCCCGGAACCAACATCCCCTACTCCATCATCCGCGACAGAGAGTTTCTCGCCCTCATGCTAACGACAGCGAACGAGGAAGAAGAAGAGAATGAAGAAGCAGCTCCCACATCTGCACCGGCACCTGACGAAGACCCCGCAGCTGCACTTGCGCGCTACATGCGCACCTCCGGATTCCGCGCCGACGACGCCATCTGGCATCAGCGCTTAGGTCACCCTTCGCGCACGACTCTGAAGAACTGCATCGAAGCCGGCGTCTTCGCACCTGGCGCGCTGCTGCGCCCTGACGGCTCCGAAGTGAGAGGAGGAACTCACCCGCGCAGCTGCACCGTCTGCCCCGAAGCCGCGCTGAGTCACCAGCCCTTCCCCCTACTCGAACCAGGGACCAATCGCTACGCCAAGCTGGAGAAGGTTTACAGTGATTTCCTCAACGTAGGTCACTGCGGCATCAACGACGAGCTCTACACACTCACCTTCGTCGACGCCGGAACGCGCCACGTATGGGTCGTAAACGTGGAAGCACGCAGCAGAGCCTACGAAGCATTCCGCCTGTGGCTGGCGCACGCGCAGCGGCAATCTGGAGAGAAATTGAAGATCTGGCAGTCCGATGGCGCAGCGGAGTTTAGGAGCAAGGAGCTGCAGGATTTCCTCGCGCAAAAGGGGATCGAGCATCACATCTCTCTCCCCTACGCGCATCAGCAGCAGGGCGTAGCAGAACGCACGAATCGCACCCTCATGACGAAGGTACGGGCGCTAATGAGGCAGGCGAAGCTCCCGCCGATCTACTGGACCTACGCGATGCACCACGCTGTGCGGGTGCACAACCTGCTGTCAACCACCGCAATCACCGGCAACTCCTCGCCGCATGTGAAATGGACGGGAAGAAAGGGGGACACCTCCATGCTCCGCGTCTGGGGGTGCATGGTTCAATACCGACCGCCAACGTCAACCATCGGGAAGTTCAAGAGCCGCGCGCGCTGGGGAATCAACCTCGGCATCAGTCACGAACACAAGGCATGGATCATCCTGGATCTCCTAAGCCAGAAAATCAAAAATGCGCGCGACGTTATCTTCTACGAGCGGCTGTTTCTGCAACAATTCCGTGAGGACGAGCAGACGAATGCAAACCGCGTCTACGCCAACGAGGGCCACAGCTACGCTTCACCTGAGGACGAAGCTGCAGCGGCGATTCTGGAGCAGGATCCCAGAGGGGAGTTCACAAGGGGTGATCGCCGCGACGACGACGACGACGATGATTCAGGAGGCACAGCAGGAGCGGGCGCAACAGGAGGCACAGCGGGAGGAGGCGCAGCAGGAGGAAGCGGAAGCGGCGGAGACACAGCACCACCAGCACCGCCAGAACCAGAAAGCGACGATGACGACGTGCAGGAAGTCGTCACCCAACATCACCATGACAGCACCATCACTGGCCTTCAACTCCTGGGACTGCACGCGGCCGTCTCCACTGCTCCGCGCATCATCGAGCCTAAGAACCCACGACAGGCTCTCACAGGCCCACACAGCAAGGAGTGGCGCGAAGCAATGGATGCGGAGATTCGGGCGCTTGAGTCGCGCGATACCGGGGTGCTCGTCGACCGTGCAGCAGTGAAGGGCAGAAGGATCCTCTCCGGCAAATGGGTCTTCCGCGTGAAGACAGGAGCTGACGGGACGATTGAGCGATTCAAGGCGCGCTGGGTGGTACGCGGCTACGATCAGAGGCACGGGATTGATTTCGACCAGACTCTTGCGCCGGTCAGCCGTCACACGTCCGTCAGAATTCTGCTCGCCATCGCAGCCGCACGCCACCTACCACTTCGGCAGATCGATGTGAAGAATGCGTTCCTATACGCATTAGTGGACGCCGTGATCTACGTGGAGCAGCCTCACACATACGGCGACGGCGACCCACGTGTTTGTCAGCTGCGTAAGTCTCTCTACGGCATCAAACAGGCACCAAGGCTCTGGCAGCAGTACCTGCACAACATACTGCTTGAAATCGGGTTCAAGCAGCTGCCTCACGATCCTGGGATGTATCGCCGCGATTTCCGCGGCGAATACATCCTACTCACGGTCTACGTCGATGACCTCCTTTACACAGGTTCAAGCAACGAATTGCTGGAGCAATTCGAGAAGAGTCTCGCAGGGCGCGTCGATATCACCTGCAACCACGACGTGAAGCAGTTCCTCGGACTCAACATAACTTACGCGCCAGAAGCCATTCATCTCTCAGCAGCGAAGTATGCGGAGGAGCTTAGCAAGCGCTTCAACATTGCGCCTGCACCACTCTCCACCCCTTACCGCACTCCAGGACCCAACCACAAGCCTGACGACAAAGCCCTGTCCCCTGCTGGGCTTCACACTTACCAGCAGCAGTTGGGGTGCCTGCTCTTCGCATCGGTCACCTGCAGGCCCGACCTCTCCTACATCGCAAGCCAGTTGGCTCAGTACTCACGCAAACCAACGGCTGAGAACCTCTCAGATCTTCAGCGAGCCCTTCAATTCTTTATCTCCACGCCCAATGTCGGGCTCAGCTACTCCACCATCCCAACCGTATCCTTCAGTCTCGTTGGCTACGTGGATGCTGATCACGCCGCTGATCCTGACAATCGACGGTCCAGGACAGGATTCCTCTTCCGCCTCGAGCCCAGCGGCCCCATCTCCTGGAACTCTCAGAAGCAGGAGTTGGTTGCCCTGTCATCGGCGGAAGCCGAATTCATCGCAGCAACAGCAGCTGTTCGCGAAGGTCTCTACCTTCAGGAGCTGTTGCAAGAAGCGAAAGTTCCGGCCTCAACGAACTTTCGCCTGCACTGCGACAACCAGAGCGCGATCAGGATCGCGAACAAACCTGGCTTCGTCAAGCGCACCAAGCACATCGCACTGCGGTACTTCTTCGTCAAGGACGAAGTTGACAAAGGCAAGGTTGATCTGACATACTGCCCAACGGGTGACATGGCAGCAGACTTCCTCACGAAGAAACTGCCGCGTCAGCAGTACCAGCACTGCTCCGAACTCAGCGGGGTAGTCAAGCGGGTCAATGCTTGCTACGGCAAGGAGTGAAGGGGGGTGTTACGAATAGTGGTTAGTGAAAATACTATTGGTCACTCCTCACCGTAGCAAAAGCCGAAGCACGCAGTATCGAGAGTGAATACGAAAAGACAGAAGTAATGCGAAGGGACAGACGGTTACGAAGAGCATCTGGACCGTCGGGCAGACAACATCAGGCAGCAGCAGTGGCGAGGATTCTGCCCGAGCAGTTCCGTAACCACCCGGAGTCGCACGGTTGGATTTCGCTGTAATAAGGGAATGTACCCCTTAGAGTACATGGCTAGCTAGGTCGTTTCGCATTCCCCTGTACTCTTATTTATATTCCTTGTACTGCATGTTTTTATTATCTCAAGCATTTACATTCACTCTGCTATTGAGATCAAGGGCCCACCACCACTAGATTAGAAGTGTGTGAACCTTTCTGAGGTGATCATGGTTACGATCAACCTTCGATCGCAACACTTGCTTACCGCGTACATGCCCGTTCCCGCCATCGGCACCCATCCGTGAGCGTTACCCGCTCGCGACATTCGCCTCGACCACGACTCCCACCACTGTTCACGATGCGACCCAACCTCACGGTTCGGTTGGTAACCCGCGCTCCGGACCTCCGCCTCGACGATTCCCAACCTCGGCGCTAGGCCCGTAGCGCACCCCAATTTCCCGCATTACCGTTACCACGCTAGCTTCACTATATAACTTCGCTCATGCTTTTCGCTCAACTGTATTGTTTGCTTCGATAGTGCAATTCTCGCTCGCTCACTCAATTGCACTCGTAACACTAACACATTTTCGCATTTAAAGGGTTGTGTTGTGTTGGTGAGTGCTTTTATATATATCAGACTCAAGCTGCTGTGAGTAATTTGTACTGTTCTGTTTTCCACAAATTTCTGCAAACCAACGGTCTGAGCAGCGCGGCGCGAAGCTGCGAGTAAAAGGGGCACGCACGACACGGTGCTTTTTCAACCCCAGTGACAGCTGTGCACCAAGCTTGTTCCTTTCTTTGCTTCAGTTGCCGTTTTTGTGCTACTTGGAGCCCAATTGCTCTAGCAGCTTAGGGCGTGTCATATTAGGAGCTAGGAAAACATATTACTGCGACAGCGTTACTTGTTCTGCGTTCACTTATGGCCATGGCGGGGTTGCAACACCAGGACGGCGGCTTGAGCACGAGCAGCAGCGGCAGGGAGAGCAAGACGATGAAGGAGAGGCAGGCGTCGGCGGCGCTCGAGGAGCTGCGCGCCATCGTGCAGGCGTGCGCGACGTGAGTGAGGCGTGCGCGACGTGAGTGAGGCGTGCGCGACGTGAGTGAGGCGTGCGCGACGTGAGTTAGGCCGTAAAATTTGCAGTTTCCCAAAAAGGCTTAAAACTGAAACGGTCGCAGTAAGCACGTGAGCGGCGTCGGCGCACGTCGCGCGACACGCACGAGACAATGGGCGAGTGAGGTGTGGCGTCGAGAGCGAGGAGCGCTCGAGGCGAGCGTGGAAGCGGCGAGCGCTGCGGGCGGCGAGGGTGGGGGCGGTTGGCGGACCGGTGGGGAAGCCCGGTGACTGCTGCTGATGGAAAGGGGGAAGGGGGAAGACTGCCCTTTGTGACCAACGCCGATGCATGTAACTTGCGCGTTCGTTGTGTGCCACCCAATTGCCACCCGTATGCTACGGACATGCTACCCGCGTGTCAACCACGTGTCACCCGCGTGTCACCCGCGTGTCACCCGCGTGTCACCCGCGTGTCACCCGCGTGTCTCCCGTGTCACCGGCGTGTCTCCCCCGTGTCACCCGCGTGTCTCCCGCGTGTCACCCGCGCGTCACCCGCATGTCACCCGCGTGTCTCCTGCGTGTCTCCCTCGTGTCACCGGCGTGTCACCCGCGTGTCTCCCACGTGTCACCCCGTGCCAACAGCATGCTCAACAAGAAGCCGGCGTCGCTGAAGCGCGCGTTCGAGCGGCGGCACCCGCAGGTGGCGGGGGAGACGGACAGCGCGCTGTACGGCAGCCACCTGCTGCTCTTCGCGCTCCACCGCGCCCTCCGCGCCTGCACCCTGCGCACCGCCCTCGCCGCCTCCAAGGTCCCCTTCCCTCCCCTCTGTCCCCTCTTCGCCATCGTCTCTCACCCAGCACCCCCTTTCCTCTCTCGCTTCCCTCCTATCTCGCGTCCGTCACACACTGAAGCCCTCCTTTGCCCCTCTCATTGCTACTCCTTCCCTCACCTCCTCCCTTCCCCTCCCCTCCTCTCCCCTCCCCCCCCCCTCCCTTCCCCTCCCCTCCTCTCCCCTCCCCTCCCCTCCCTTCCCCTCCCCTCCTCTCCCCTCCCCTCCCCTCGCCTCGCCTCGCCTCTGTGCTCACCCAGACCGTGCCACTGGACCAGCTGCTGTACCGCAGCATAACCACCTTCGCCACTCTGCACCGCATGCACCTCGAGGCCCAGCAGCAGCAGCAGCAGCAGCAGCAGCAGCAGCAGCGGGCGCGGCGGCAGGCGTCCAGCAAGGGCGCGGGGGCGGGCAGGGGAGCGCCGCCCAAGCCGCCGTCCATGGGGCTCGAGCAGGTAGGGGCTGGCGGGCAGGGATGTGGGGGGCAGTAGTGGTGGGGGAAGGACGTGTGCGGCATGGGGTCAGGGCGCACGGGGCATGTGCCACCGGATTTTCTGCAAAGGAGCTTCACAGACCACTGATGTGCCCCCTCCCCTTCATGACACCCGCCCCTGCGTGCCCCTGCTCCCCGCTGCCCCAGCAGCAGGTGCAGGCGGCGGGCAGCGAGGAGGAGAGGCTGGAGAAGGAGAGGGCGGCGCAGGCGGAGGCGATGGCGCTGGGGTTCACGCGAGTGGCGCCGCTGCTGGGCGAGCTCGCCACGCCCGCCACGGCCGCCTGCCTGCACCACCACCTCGCCTTCACTCGCGCTGCCAACTCGCCCTCCGCCCAGCCGCCCCCCTCGGGCCTCTCTGCTGACCGCATGCATCAGTTTGTGGCGGCCGTGGCACAGTGAGTGGGGCGCAGTGAGTGGGGCGCAGTGAGTGGGGCGCAGTGAGTGGGGCGCAGTGAGTGGGGCGCAGTGAGTGGGGCGCAGTGAGTGGGGCGCAGTGAGTGGGGCGCAGTGAGTGGGGTGCAGTGAGTGGGGCGCAGTGAGTGGGGCGCAGTGAGTGGGGCGCAGTGAGTGGGGCGCAGTGAGTGGGGTGCAGTGAGTGGGGTGCAGCTAATGTGATGTGGGGCGCAGGGAGTGGGGTGTGTTATGGTTGAGCGCGTCCCATGCGATCCCAGACATGCCATGCCACTCGCCCACGCCCATGCGTCAACGCCCCATGCGTCAACGCCCCATGCAACGCCCCATGCAACGCCCCATGCAACGCCCCATGCAACGCCCCATGCAACGCCCCATGCAACGCCCCATGCAACGCCCCATGCCATCCGAAGCCACGCCATGGCACACATGCCGCAGAGTGCCCCGTATCTCCCCATGGGTGTGCGCGCATGTGCAGCGAGCAGGAGGCAATGGGCAAGCGCACGGGGGTGGCGGCAGCGGCGTTGGGGCTGCAGGAGAGGGAGGTGGTGGTGGCGGAGAGCGACGCCACGCTCTACATCGACGCCCCGGGCGCGCCCAAGACGCTTGTGGGCCATGGCCGCCTCTACCTCACC